TAACATCAGTTTGCAATATGGGGTAACTTGTGAAGCAGATACATAATCATATGCTTCGCTTACGGGTTGTCCACAGAAAGGCTGTAAGCAAACTTGAATCGTCACTGTTAGAATAAGTTTTTATTCTTGCGTGGCTTTCGTATTTAACCAGGTATACTTTTGAAACTACTAATTAAACTTAAAAGGAAAACTTCTTCTCAGATCTCCAATATTCAGCTTTAATCATAAAGAGATCCTCATGGGATAGTGCAAACTTTTTTTTCTCCTTCTGTGTGAAAGAGCGAACAATGTATTTACAGAAAAACATGTTTTTGCAGTTTTCAAAAACTTTTTAGGAAACTTCCTTTTAAAAATGTCCCTCAGTTATTTATTAAAGAACATGGATAACGTGTATAAACACATTATGTAACACCCCATCCCGCTCATCCCCCCCGCCCCCAAAAAAAAAGACCAGAGGAGGGGCATGCCAAAGCATGCTACTTTCTCATAAAACTGCAAATGTAGAGATGGGTCCTCTGCTGTGCCCTTGTGTTGAAAAATATTGGTGCTGCTGAGCCATTCAGGGAGCAGAATTCCACCGGGAAAGCCACTGGTGAGAGTATCCTTGTAGGGAGCCAGAGCTTCCCCCTTCTTCCACTGCCTTTCTACCCAGGGTGGGGAGCTGGTGCGACCCTTACTGGCTCTTACTCGCTACACCTATTTCTTAGAGATCAAATTGATGACGTAGTTTGTTTGCCTGAAGGTGAATAAACAGCTACAAACAAATAGACTGCAGCTATTGAGAAATAAGGTGCTATTTTTCTTGTACCTGATACTTCCGCCCTAGCTTCTCTGTGTGTCTTTTGCCCTACACACTCATGATTCTTCTCACCCTTACACATCCTCTTCACAGCACAGTCAGCCTTCATTCCCCGCCTTCTCTTTCTGTTAACTCGTAGAGAAATCTTCCATGTTTGTCCTAGATGGTTGTCAACACATCAAACTTCAGTTTCTTTCTTTTTTTTTTTTTTTCCCTGAAGTCCTCCTTGCTAATGTGTTTGTTGTGGCTCCCTCTTACATACTGGAGACTGGACTGCCAGTAACTCATAGCAACATCTGTGTTAAATAGGCTTCCAACTTAGATGAAACGCAGCAGAGCTGAGATATCTCTGTTAAAGGAAAAGACATATAGATAAGAATACTGTAACTCGCCGTGGAAGATCACTGTTGAAGAGAAAAAATGTGAGTCAGTAGTTAGAAATGAAGATCGGTGAACTCAGTCTGTTTAATATCCTCAGGAATGAAAAAAAAAGGAATGCCAAGTTTTGAGCAAAGAACCACCTAGTAGATCCGTCAGTCAACAGATTGCATTTTGAATGAACTTCCTGTGCTCCATTGTATCCTGCTGGGTTTTTTTGAAGACTGAGAATGAATTAAATTTTTCCAACTGCTACATGTAAAAACTGCCCTGAAGCGATACAACTGTTTTCTTCAAGGGATTTAATTTCCCTCTATGCTGTTTTTTTTGTTTGGGTTTTTTTTCATGGTAGTGCTGGTCAAGAAACACCAACTGACAAAGGCCTGGTTTGGAATCGCACCATGCGTCAGGTGGCACGTGGTATTGGTGAACGGTGTGGTTGCCACTGATGTTTGTCTGTCAGTCCCGAGGCAGTGACACGCTGCACAGCCGAGAGGTTCCAGGAGCAAAGCGTGTTGCAGGCACAGGACAGCAACGGGCGTCCATCGCCGAGATGCTGAGTCAGCGCTTGCATCTCCTGCCGAGCTCAGTAAAGTTTGCAAGTGTTCTGCTCCTAGAATGACGATACCAGGCCCTAAGCAAATAAGTAGAAAGATACCCCAATTGTGTTAATGCCTCTGCACTTCTTTCTTCAAAAATTAATCTGAATATTACACGACCACTGTGTTTTTTATAAAAAACACCACAACTTTATCAGTGGTTTCTTGAGACTAGGTATTATCTTCGTGTTTTGACATGAACAGTAACGAACAAAGCGTGCAATGGAATGGGAAGTGTTTTGGAATGGAAAGTATGACCTCTTTGCAATGAGAGGCAGTTTCAAAGTAACCTGTTCTGAAACAGTAGTGCATTCATTTTTTGTTTTAATAGAAACTTTATTTCCTTTAAATGCTTTAAAATCCAGAGAAGCAGCTTTAGTTAAGCTGGTTTAGTTCTGACATTCTTACATGTCAGAATTCTGTACCATAACTTTACGCTGCTCCTGCAAATGCATTTGTCTGACTTTTGCTGTAAAATCTGGTTTGACTTTGCCTGGAGGGGTTAACTTACAGCATTGGCACAAGTGCATCCTTCTACAACATACTTAGGAATTTAACAAACTATCATTGTCCTTATGGAGATTATGGAATTAAATGTTTCTGGTAATCCCATGATCTTTACGTTTTTAACTTTTCAATTGATTGGTTGCAGCTGAGCTGGGAGAGTGTGAGCACCCAGAGCACACACCCGAACTCGTGTCTGAATTCAGGTTTGCACCAAACCAGACCGAAGCAATGGAATTTGACATTTTTCAGAAATGG